ACTTCAATCAGTGTAGATGAAGGGGAGGAGACCAGTTAAAGGATTTGTAAGCCTCGAGACAATTGGAGACATGGATTGTGTATGTGTGCCATTCAGAGGGTGAATGGGCAAGATAAAATAGTTGTGCCTTTGAACAGAGTATGGTAAGAACTGCAACACTGCTGGGTTTTTCACGAATTGTCCACCACCCAAAGGACATCCAGCCAACTTGATACAACTGTGAGAAGCATTGGAGTCAACATGGGCCAGCATCCCTGTGAAACAATTGATACCTTGTAGAATCCATGCCCCAACGAATTTAGGCTGTTCTGAGGGCAAAAGGGGGTGCAACTCAATATTAGGAAGATGTTCCTAATGTTTTTTACACTCAGTGTAAGTGAGAAGTAGGCATTGGTCTGACGCCAAACCCATCAGCCATAACTCACGCTGCGTCGGGATTCTCCACACTTCTTTCAAAGAGTTTACTTGAATACTCCCAGTCACTTTGGGAGAAGGGTGGAAAATCGGGATGCAGCCATAAATGTGCCCTTTGCTACGGTCTTAAAGTTTCACTGACTTTGCCTGGTGCAATAGGTGGACAGATTTTTCCCTTTCAGAACCTTTCAATGGTCCTAAAGTGCACACTCTGCACACTTGGCAATCAACAGCGCCTTTTGACTAAAGTAACTCGCCAGGACTGAGATGGCTCACTGGGTCATGCAGCTGGGAGAATCTGGCTAAGTAATGAAAATGAATGAACTCTAGATGCAAATATCCACAACAACTAGCGTGATTGAAAGGAATGATAAAAACAGTGTTTAAAAAATATATATAAACACAACTACTGATACACCAGTAGCTAGGAACACTAGCTATCTAGCTAACGTTAATAAAATAAGTAAGTTATCCATGATAATAAACCCAACCTTTTACAGGATTGGTTCGCAGTTCCGGAGCGACCCTCTAGGTGTCATCTTCCGACAACCATAGGCACCTCCTCACTCACAGTCGGGACTAATTATCTGCCTATTGGTGTCACCTGTGGCTATCTGATTCACCTGTGTATTTATGCCCGCACTTCCATGTGTTCCCTTGCTCAGTTTTCTCTGCTAGTTCCTTGATGTCAAGCAGTACGTATCAGTGTCGGATCACGTGACAGAGTTACAGGTACTCGAGAAGTGTTCTCCCTGTGTCATTGTGTTTTTCCAGTCCGAGTTAGTATTTCGTATTGTTTGTTGTCAGCCTGTTGTTTGGAGACCTATGTGCTCCTCATTTGTTTCGTGTATAGTCCGTTGTTTTGTATCCTGGCTTTTGGACCACCAGTAAAGATCCTTGTTTCACCATCTTTGCCTACTGCCTACTTTCTATCCTGCACCGCACCTGGGTCACACCTCACACCAACCCTTACACCAACCATGCTTCAAAATGCATGGATGTAGATAGTGTATGCATGTAGGCCATGCAGTGGAGGCTGCTGAGGGAAGGACGACTCATAATAATAGTTGGAACGGCGCGAATGGAATGGCCAACACATGGAAAACATATGTTTGATGTATTTCATACTGTTGTGTCTGAAAACATGTTGCTAATCATGCTGTGGAGGACAAGGAGATCCGCTGACACTGTACTTTGATTATAAAGGTTTATTCATAACAAAGGATTTCAGCGTCGAATTACAGATACCTGCAGGCATCTGGAGAACAGTGGACCCAAAAGAATATGTTGTCCTGACCTCCTTTGTCTTCACCAAGTATTTATAATCTTTACCAAGATAGGGGTGGTTTCCCCTACAGACCAATCCCATCACTCCACACAACAGACTTCCTCTGTTTTAGGGTACTCCTATAGAACTGCTCTCCAGATGTCTCCCTGGGCCAAATCAACATTCTCTAAGCTACCATTTGCAAACACTAACAAAGTCATAAATTCCTTAGATACCACACTACCATTTGCAAAGCTAACAAAGTCATAAATTCCTTAGATACCACATTACCATTTGCAAAGCTAACAAAGTCATAAATTCCTTAGATACCACATTACCATTTGCAAAGCTAACAAAGTCATACATTCCTTAGATACCACAATACCATTCCACTGATTCCACTCCAGCCATTACCACAAGCCTGTCCTCCCCAATTAAAGGTGCTACCAACTTCCTGTGATGCCATGTATTTATAATCCATTAAAAGTCACACAAATTTCTAACGGAGCTGGTGGTCTTTGGGTCTTCATCTGAAGATTCTAATTCTAGAACAGCTAAAGAAACGTTCTTCTTTACGTGATTGGTGGACTTAATGCGGCTAAAACATCAAACCATACTCTCTAAGCTGGGAACAAATTGTGTACATAAACCCATTCACACCGCACTACTACCAGGAATAACCCGCTAAATTCACAAGTTTGCTGGTCAGTTTAACTCAAAACCTAACTTACACATATACATTAGCTACACACAATGGTACAGGCAAGAATATATCAAACATTTTGTACATCTGGATCCAGATCCATTTGGTGAAGTATACGAGTAATGTGATCTAAAAGGTAGGATCTAGGTTTGCACAACTTTCATCTACAAAGTTTAAAAAACAATTCACTGTAATTCGTACATGTAATCTATTCATGTTGAACATATATTTAGTGTTCATGCATAATATTTCACTATGTAGGCTAGAGGATGCTTTTCTCTCAATACAATAGAGTAACACAATATTAATTTTGATATTTTATCAATTCTATGACTCCAAGTATCGATTCTTAATTTATTTTGCTAGGTAGTTAACGTTAACTAGCGCTTAGCTAGCTAGCGCCAAAGCTCCAGTATTTCTCCTTCTCTACCTTGTTCTCAACCTTTTTTTTTAGATGGGGAGCCAACATGTCTTCAGCACCTTTATTTCCATGACTGATCAAAACTCGTATTCTCATGTCTCTCTCTTGTCCCTCTGCAGCAGACATGGTGAGCAATATGTTTGAAACATAAAATCGCAATAAAATCAAAGTATCGAATCGCAGTCCTTATAGAATCATGAGAATCGCAATATACATATATATATATATATATATATACAGTGAGGGAAAAAAGTATTTGATCCCCTGCTGATTTTGTAAGTTTGCCCACTGACAAAGACATGATCAGTCTATAATTTTAATGGTAGGTTTATTTGAACAGTGAGAGACAGAATAACAACAACAAAAAATCCAGAAATACGCATGTAAAAATTTTTATAAATTGATTTGCATTTTAATTAGGGAAATAAGTATTCGACCCCTCTGCAAAACATGACTTAGTACTTAGTGGCAAAACCCTTGTTGGCAATCACAGAGGTCAGACGTTTCTTGTAGTTGGCCACCAGGTTTGCACACATCTCAGGAGGGATTTTGTCCCACTCCTCTTTGCAGATCTTCTCCAAGTCATTACGGTTTCGAGGCTGACGTTTGGCAACTCAAACCTTCAGCTCCCTCCACAGATTTTCTATGGGATTAAGGTCTAGAGACTGGCTAGGCCACTCCAGGACCTTAATGTGCTTCTTCTTGAGCCACTCCTTTGTTGCCTTGGCCGTGTGTTTTGGGTCATTGTCATGCTGGAATACCCATCCACGACCCATTGGCTAAGGGAAGGAGGTTCTCACCCAAGATTTGACGGTACATGGCCTCGTCCATCGTCCCTTTTGATGCGGTGAAGTTGTCCTGTCCCCTTAGCAGAAAAACACCCCCAAAGCATAATGTTTCCACCTCTATGTTTGACAGTGGGGATGGTGTTCTTGGGGTCATAGGCAGCATTCCTCCTCCTCCAAACACGGCGAATTGAGTTGATGCCAAAGAGCTCGATTTTGGTCTCATCTGACCACAACACTTTCACCCAGTTCTCCTCTGAATCATTCAGATGTTCATTGGCAAACTTCAGACGGGCCTGTATATATGCTTTCTTGAGCAGGGGGACCTTGCGGGCGCTGCAGGATTTCAGTCCTTCACGGCGTAGTGTGTTACCAATTGTTTTCTTGGTGACTATGGTCCCAGCTGCCTTGAGATCATTGACAAGATCCTCCCGTGTAGTTCTGGGCTGATTCCTCACCGTTCTCATGATCATTGCAACTCCACAAGGTGAGATCTAGCATGGAGCCCCAGGCCGAGGGAGATTGACAGGTCTTTTGTGTTTCTTCCATTTGCGAATAATCGCACCAACTGTTGTCACCTTCTCACCAAGCTGCTTGGCGATGGTCTTGTAGCCCATTCCAGCCTTGTGTAGGTCTACAATCTTGTCCCTGACATCCTTGGAGAGCTCTTTGGTCTTGGCCATGGTGGAGAGTTTGGAATCTGATTGATTGATTGCTTCTGTGGACAGGTGTCTTTTATACAGGTAACAAGCTGAGATTAGGAGCACTCCCTTTAAGAGTGTGCTCCTAATCTCAGCTCGTTACCTAATAATATAATATAATATGCCATTTAGCAGACGCTTTTATCCAAAGCGACTTACAGTCATGTGCGCATACATTTTTACGTATGGGTGGTCCCGGGGATCGAACCCACTACCCTGGCGTTACAAGCGCCATGCTCTACCAATTGAGCTACAGAGGACCAGACACCTGGGAGCCAGAAATCTTTCTGATTGAGAGGGGGTCAAATACTTATTTCCCTCATTAAAATGCAAATCAATTAATAAAATTTTTGACATGCGTTTTTCTGGATTTTGTTGTTGTTATTCTGTCTCTCACTGTTCAAATAAACCTACCATTAAAATTATAGACTGATCATGTCTTTGTCAGTGGGCAAATGTACAAAATCAGCAGGGGATCAAATAGTTTTTTCCCTCACTGTATATATGGTATCGGCACCGAAGTATCGTGATAACATCGTATCGTGAGGTCCCTAGCAATTCCCAGCCCTACCGGATACGTAGGTAGAATAAAGTAGGTAGTGACATTATAAAACTGCTACATAATTATTGCTTTACATCATAAAGTCAGATCAGAGTGAGCAAAGATGGTCAGATTAAATCAAAAGCTTTTCAAACTAGTTCAAAGTAATCATAAGTACAGATAAACAGGAAGATCTTCTGGAAGTCCCAAAGGCACTCCTGGTTTCTGTTGCACCCCTGGTTTCTGTGTCACTGGACTTGGTTTTTCATGGTCCATGTTTTGTTTGCCTGAAATATGCCTCCTGCACATCGTCATTAATGTGTTATGCACATAGTTTTTTACATCTTTCCATGTCCTGCCTTGTAGAGCTGGTTCAGCTGCAATACATGCATCACATTCCGTTTCACCTGGAATCTTCATCAGTTTAGTGAAGTCTTCTAGCTGCCGCCTCACCGCAGCCTGAGCCTCATCACCCCATATTTTCTGTTTCCTTGGTGTTGCCACAGCAACAGGAACTGCCTCTAGTCTCTCCTCTTGACCCTGTGAAGGTACTGTCCTTGTTCCACCAACCCATTCCTTAGCACTCTTTGCCTCTTTTGTTTCTGTTTGTTTCTTTGCCGCTCCTTTCTTTGTCCATTTCCTGGGGTCCACTCTTGTAAGGCCCTTCTTCCTTTTAATAGATTTTACTGTGTTGTGCACATAGTTTTTGATGTCTCTCCATGTCCTGTCTTGTAGAGCTGGTTCATTGTGGAGGCATACTTCACAGTCCCGTTTACCTGGAACCTCCATCATTTAGATAAAGTGTCCCATTTGATACTTCACCGCAGTCTTAGCCGCATCACTCCACAGCCTCACAGGACTTGTCCGTGCAGGAACTGTCCAGACAGGAAGTGTCTGCGTTGGAAGTGTCTGGGCAGGAAGTGTCTGTGATTGAAGTGTTGGCATAATAATTGTACATGTTGGAAGTGTTTGTGCAGGAAGTGTCTTGCAGGATTAGTCCCTGAAGCATATGATGTTGCAGGAGATGAGAGGCCTTAAGGACTTGCAGGATATATCCCTGCAACATATGAACCTGATGGATAGGTCCCTGAAGGATGTGTCACGGTAGGATATGCCCTTGCAAAATCTGTCCCAGCAGAATCTGTCCCCACAGAATATGACCTCGCAGAATGTGATCCCGAAGGATATGACTTCTCAGGATATGTCCCAGCATGATATGACCTTGAGGGCTGTGCCCCCACAGTATATGACTTCGCTGAATATGTCTCTGTAGGATATGTCCTTCCAGAATCTGTCCCCGCTGGATATGTCCCGCAGAATATGTCCCTGCAGAATATCTCCCTATGAAATCAATAGAAACAGAAGAAAATGATTCATGAACATGTGCCATTATCATATATATATATTGTGAAGAGGAACAGAGCAAACACTATAGAGCAATAAGTTGCAAGCTTCTCAAAAATGTAGGTGTGGTTAACATGTAAATGGCACAAAAACTGTGATTTTTCCACTCAACATTTATCATTTAACTCCTAAAACACAATCGAAATGTTAGTCCAAATATCCTGTAAAGCAACTGATACTCACCATATGTAGGAGAAACAACCCTTTCCTCAGACGGCCCTGGAATTACAACTGGAACCTGATCCATTGCAAGCTGTCACGCCCTGACCTATAGAACTCTTGTTTGTTGAGTCAGGGTGTGGAATTCTATGTTAGACATTCTATGTTTAAGTTCTATTTTTCTATTTTTATGTCTGGCCGGGTATGATTCCCAATCAGAGGCAGCTGTCGCTCATTGTCTCTGATTGGGGATCATACTTAGATAGCCTATTGCCTACTGTTTATTGTGGGATCTTGTTCCTGTTAGGCTGGTATGTGTATATAGCCCTTTGGACTTCACGTTACGTTGTTTCTTGTTTTGTTTAATGTTTATTTAGTTAATAAACATGTACGCTTTTCATGCTGCACCTTGGTCCGACCCGTCTCTCAACGTTCGTGACAGAAGATCCCACCACAAAAGGACCAAGCAGCGTGCCGAGGCGGAGCGAATAGCTTTGTCACAGGTGGGCGAATGGTGGTCATGGGAGGAGATATTCGCTGGGAAAGGATCCTGGGCGAAGGTACAGACCCTGGCAAGAGAGGATCAACGACGACGCCAACGGGACCAACCGCTGAGGAAGCCCGAGAAGCAACCCCAATAAAAAATGTTGGGGGGGGGCTAGAGGGGTGGTCGGGGATCGAGAGAGAAGAGCCCCGACCACTGCACCCGGTGCGGTTCCAGTTGGAGTCCCTACGACCATGGGAACAGGAATGGGAACAGTTTTACACTGAGGAGTCGGAGGATGACGACAACGATGAGTTTCTGTTCCCTAACTCGTGGAGGCTCCCGGAGGAGTCCTCACTGGAGGAGGATTGGGCGCGGAGAGAGAAGGACTGGAACAGTCGTGGATCTCCAATGCCAGTTCCCAGCCCGGTACGCCCCGTGCCTGCTCCTCGCACCAAGCCAGTAGTGCGTGTTCCCAGTCCGGCACGGCCCGTGCCTGCTCCTCGCACCAAGCCAGTGGTGCGTGTTTCCAGTCCGGCACGGCCCGTGCCTACTCCTCGCACCAAGCCAGTGGTGCGTGTTCCCAGTCCGGCACGGCCCGTTCCAGGACAGAAACACGCACCTAAAATGGAGTCAGCAGGGACAGTCAGTCCGTCCAGATCTTTGGAGGAACGTATCCAACGGCAGGCGAGCAGGATCTAGGCTCTCGGCAGCGCAATGGAGCGCGTGGTGAGTACATTGGAGCGATGGGAGAGAGATGGCGTTTCTACACCTCCTCCAACCACACAACTCACTCGACCTCCAGCGACGGTTCCCTGCAGGGAGCACTTTAGCGTGTCGGTGCCCAGTCTGGGGCCGGCAACCAGCCCAACTACAGGGTTGGAAACCACCTCTGCGTCGGTGCCCAGGGTGGGCACGACGTACAGCCCCGTTCTGGAGCAGGATCTCCTAAACGTGTCGGTGCCCAGTCTGGGGCCGGCAACCAGTCTTACTACAGGGCTGGAATTTTCCTCTGCGTCGGTGCCCAGGCTGGGCACGGCGTTTAGTCCTGCTCCAGAGATGGGGATGGATACGGGTCCGGTCAGCTGCTCCACTCCGGAGTCAGAGCATTCCGCTCCACCGGGGTACAGTCCAGCTCCGGTCAGCGGCTCCACTCCGGAGCCAGAGCAATCCGCTCCATCGGTGCCTGATCCAGCTCCGGTCAGCGACTCCATTCCGGAGTCAGAGCTGTCCGCTCCACCGGTGCCTGATCCAGCTCCGGTCAGCGACTCCATTCCGGAGTCAGAGCTGTCCGCTCCACCGGTGCCCAGTCCAGCTCCGGTCAGCGGCTCCACTCCGGAGCCAGAGCAATCCGCTCCACCGGTGCCTGATCCAGCTCCGGTCGGTTGCTCCACTCCGGAGCCAGAGCACTCTGCTCCACCGGTGCCCAAGCCCGCTCCGGTCAGTGACTCCATTCTGGAGTCAGAGCAGTCCGCTCCACCGGGGTCCAGTCCAGCTCCGGTCAGCGGCTCCACTCCGGAGCCAGAGCAATCCGCTCCACCGGTGCCCAGTCCAGCTCCGGTCAGCGGCTCCACTCCGGAGCCAGAACAGTCCGCTCCACCGGTGCCCAGTCCAGCTCTGGTCAGCGGCTCCACTCCAGACCCAGAAGTCAGCCCCTCTCCAGGGTCGGGGTCTCCCACACCAGGGTCCAGACAGAGCTTGGTGCATCGTGGGAGGATTGCCGATCCAGGCCCAGACGTCAGCCCCTCTCCAGGTTCGGGGTCTCCCACACCAGGGTCCAGACAGGGCTTGGTGCATCGCGGGAGGATTGCCGATCCAGGCCCAGACGTCAGCCCCTCTCCAGGTTCGGGGTCTCCCATACCAGGGTCCAGACAGGGCTTGGTGCATCGTGGGGGGATTGCCGATCCAGGCCCAGACGTCAGCCCCTCTCCAGGTTTGGGATCTCCCACACCAGGGTCCAGACAGGGCTTGGTGCATCGCGGGAGGATTGCCGATCCAGGCCCAGATGTCAGCCCCTCTCCAGGTTCGGGGTCTCCCATACCAGGGTCCAGACAGGGCTTGGTGCATCATGGGAGGAAGGAGAGGGGAAGCATCGCGCAGAGGTCCAGACCAGACCAGGGGCGCAACAGAGAGGGAGAGGTCGTCACGCCGGAGCCAGAACCGCCTACGAGGTTGAAAGCCCACCCGGACCCTCCCCTTTCATGTCAGGTTTGTGCGGCCGGAGTCCGCACCTTTGGTGGGGTACTGTCACGCCCTGACCTATAGAACTCTTGTTTGTTGAGTCAGGGTGTGGAATTCTATGTTAGACATTCTATGTTTAAGTTATTTTAAAAAATATATATTTCACCTTTATTTAACCAGGTAAGCCAGTTGAGAACAAGTTCTCATTTACAACTGCGACCTGGCCAAGATAAAGCAAAGCAGCGCGATAAAAACAACAACACAGAGTTACATGGGGTAAAAAAAAAACATAAAGTCAAAAAATACAACAGAAAATATATATACAGTGTGTGCAAATGTAGCAAGTTATGGAGGTAAGGCAATAAATAGGCTATAGTGCAAAATAATTACAATTAGTATTAACACTGGAATGATAGATGTGCAAGAGATTATGTGCAAATAGAGATACTGGGGTGCAAAAGAGCAAAATAAATAACAATATAGGGATGAGGTAGTTGGGTGGGCTAATTTCAGATGGGCTGTGTACAGGTGCAGTGATCGGTAAGGTGCTCTGACAACTGATGCTTAAAGTTAGTGAGGGAGATAAGTGTCTCCAGCTTCAGAGATTTTTGCAATTCGTTCCAGTCATTGGCAGCAGAGAACTGGAAGGAATGGCGGCCAAAGGAGGTGTTGGCTTTGGGGATGACCAGTGAGATAATAATAATATGCCATTTAGCAGACACTTTTATCCAAAGCAACTTACAGTCATGCGTGCATACATTTTTGTGTATGGGTGGTCCCGGGGATCGAACCCACTACCTTGGCGTTACAAGCGCCGTGCTCTACCAGCTGAGCTACAGAGGACCACCTAGGTCAGACCTGTCGAGAGTAGTGATTCTAGTCGGGTGGGCAGGTGCCAGCAGCGTTCGATTGAAGAGCATGCATTTAGTTTTACTAGTGTTTAAGAGCAGTTGGAGGCTACTGAAGGAGTGTTGTATGGCATTGAAGCTCGTTTGGAGGTTTGTTAACACAGTGTCCAATGAAGGGCCAGATGTATACAAAATGGTGTCGTCTGCGTAGAGGTGGATCTGAGAGTCACCAGCAGCAAGAGCGACATCATTGATATACACAGAGAAAAGAGTCGGCCCAAGAATTGAACCCTGTGGCACCCCCATAGAGACTGCCATAGGTCCAGACAACAGGCCCTCCGATTTGACACATTGAACTCTATCTGAGAAGTAGTTGGTGAACCAGGCGAGGCAGTCATTTGAGAAACCAAGGCTATTTAGTCTACCAATAAGAATGCGGTGGTTGACAGAGTCGAAAGCCTTGGCCAGGTCGATGAAGACGGCTGCACAGTACTGTCTATTATCAATCGCGGTTATAATATCGTTTAGGACCTTGAGTGTGGCTGAAGTGCACCCATGACCAGCTGGGAAACCGGATTGCATAGCGGAGAAGGTACGGTGGGATTCGAAATGGTCGGTGATCTGTTTGTTAACTTGGCTTTCAAATACTTTCGAAAGGCAGGGCAGGATGGATATAGGTCTGTGACAGTTTGGATATAGAGTGTCACCCCTTTTGAAGAGGGGGATGACCGCGGCAGCTTTCCAATCTCTGGGGATCTCAGACGTTACGAAAGAGAGGTTGAACAGGCTAGTAATAGGGGTTGCGACAATTTCGGCGGCTAGTTTTAGAAAGAAAGGGTCCAGATTGTCTAGCCCAGCTGATTTGTAGGGGTCCAGATTTTGCAGCTCTTTCAGAACATCAGCTGTCTGAATTTGTGTGAAGGAGAAGCGGGGGGGGGGGGGGGGGGGCATGGGCAAGATGCAGCGGAGGGTGCAGAGCTGGTGGCCGGGGTAGTGGTAGCCAGGTGGAAAGCATGGCCAGCCGTAGCAAAATGCTTGTTGAAATTCTCGATTATTGTAGATTTATCGGTGGTGATAGTGTTTCCTAGCCTCAGTGCAGTGGGCAGCTGGGAGGAAGTGCTCTTATTCTCCATGGACTTTACAGTGTCCCAAAACTTTTTGGAGTTAGTGCTACAGGATGCAAATTTCTGTTTGAAAAAGTTAGCCTTTGCTTTCCTGACTGCTTGTGTATATTGGTTCCTAACTTCCCTGAAAGTTGCATATCGCGGGGGCTATTTGATGCTAATGCAGTACGCCACAGGATGTTTTTGTGCTGGTCAAGGGCAGTCAAGTCTGAGGAGAACCAGGGGCTATATCTGTTCTTAGTTCTGTATTTTTTTAATGGGGCATGTTTATTTAAGATTGAGAGGAAATTACTTTTAAAGAACAACCAGGCATCCTCTATGTCTGGCCGTGTATGATTCCCAATCAGAGGCAGCTGTTGCTCGTTGTCTCTGATTGGGGATCATACTTAGATAGCCTATTGCCTACTGTGTATTGTGGGATCTTGTTCCTGTTAGGCTGGTATGTGTATAGCCCTTTAGACTTCACATTACGTTGTTTCTTGTTTTGTTGAATGTTTATTTAGTTAATAAACATGTACGCTTTTCACGCTGCACCTTGGTCCGACCCGTCTCTCAACGTTCGTGACACAAGCAGCAATTTGCTGATTTCTGCTAGATGTGCTGCATTTTCAAAGAGTCTGTAGTACTCTTTATGGACCTGGGTGTCATGTCCCAATAACTTTGCAACTTGATCCAATTCACTTTCATTCAAGTTCAGTATTTGGCAATGAATAGCAACCTCTTTCCTCACTGTCGCATGGATCAGACTTTCAGGATTCTTTGCATCACACTCATGTGCAAATTTCCTCAGACAGTCAAACCCTCTGACGTAGCTTGCTGCATCCAGGCTCCGTGCGAAGACATAAGGGTTGTCCTTTGACACACCAACTTTGTCTCTGTTTGCAATAAGGATGTCAAGAGATGAAATCATCCTCTCCGTTAGTAGGACTGGCATTTTCCTACCATTTTTCCTTCTATTTCCACCCTGGTTAATTTGTCGTCACCAAGCTCCTGCTTTAGCCTTGAGAGGCTATTGAAAATGTCTGCACTAGCTGGAGCTTTCTTCCTGTTTGTGTACGTTTCCAACAGCGCTTTCACAACCTCCACTGTCCTTTTTCTGTTGAAGAGCGCTATTTCTGCAAGAAGAGTTTCATTTAGCTTTTTCCAGACAGCGTTGGTTGGGTTCTCCAGCAATTCTTTCTTTGCTGTGTCCCCTGCAACCTTGAGAAACTTCTGAAGTTTGATCAAATCCTCAGTGAAGACACATCAACTTCATCACACTGAGGGACAGTGCTGAGGGATAGACCAGAAAAACTGTTATTCCAATCGTGTTGTGGCTTTGCTGGCATGCATTATTTTTGTAGTTTTCCCCACCAAGATTTACATGCTAAAAGCATCACTGAACATAACCCTTACCATTCAACTTCAATTGGGTAGGGAAGTCCCAAGGATCCCAGATAACACGGACCGTATGAAATGACTCTCCTTCTCCAAACGCAAAATCAGGCAAATGGCGTTTACAAGGTGGAATCCCAAAATAAATGTATAAAGTGATAAAAACCTATTTAGCTAGTTGTGCAAGACATTTTATAGATACTCTTTTTAAAATGTTTTCTCCTTCGAGAAAACAATATCTGATTCAAAGGGTGTGTGGCAGATTTCAAAACTCTTCCGGGAAGGACTCTGGTAGGATACGCTTGTGCTTCCGCGCCTACATTGACATATCTTCAGAATAAACTACAGACATTGGTATCCTTTGGTGAATTTCACCATTTTACTTCATTGCCACAGCTTACACAGCAGTTGACAAAAAGGGGGAAATTATTTCAATGATGTGGCTATTAAGGCAGAATAAATCCTCATATCAAATTAGTTCCCAAATCTTATAAAACAAGGATGGCAATTCCTTCATATTACAGTAGATTATCATGGATAAATGTTCATCCCATATCTATCGTATGTCAGCAAGTCATGTCATTGCCAGGATGTACTCTGCATTTTCGTCATTGCAACTACCACCATAACTACAAGCGATCTATTTTGATAAAGTCGTTAAAATCATGCATTTTTGAAAGCTCTCATGTAGTCCTAGACTAGAGTATTCATCTTTAGTGTTTTCCTCCAATCCCAAGAAGCAGGATTCTTCACTCGTAAGGAGTGACACGTTAGCCCTTTAGTAAAATTACATCTGAAGCGTCATGCTATAATTTAACCCACTCCAACAGTGGCAAAAGTGCCTAAATCAACAAACATCCTTCAAGCTTGACACTCCACACGTGTATCTACAGACAATAAAATAGACAACTCCAGAAAGGCAAATGCAACAACTCATTTCTAAAATTGTATAATTGGGCAAAGCATTAACTTGGTCTAAAGAATCTGACATTAACTCCTTGCCTGTGATGCCATCAAGAGCACCAACAAAAATACATCAGGCTATTGTCCCCCTACGCATACACAAAAGCAGAACTCAAAGACTTCAGTTAAAGTATTAAATCGTACACACAGAAATATACATGATTGGTCAATGGACAGGGTTGAGATGCTGTTCTTGTCCTTTAATCCTCTGCCAGAGAAACAGTCTCTCAAACTCTGGGTGGATGCTTAATGTCCAACAACTTTATATGAAGGTAGCCTGGCGTGTGGCTCAAACTGTTCTTCATGTGTGATTGCACATGTGTGAATCTTGGTTTGTGTGATCTCCCATGGTGTGCTTGGGATCCAGACAGCTTGCAAACTCTGAACTTGGCAGGTGCTACGCATCACTGTAGCTGAACACGGTATGCACAGATGAGAAGCTTCACCTGGGGAGAAAGAAAGAGTCCATCAATCAAATGTATTGGTCAAATTTAATTTATCAACAACTTGTCAGTCTTTTACAGTAACTTGGCCTAGACCCCCTCTCACCATGGTCATAGGTTACTCTGCTGTGTGTGTGTGTGTGTGTTTACCTTGGCTGTTGGTGACTCTGCCAGGCGAATGAACAGTTTGTTGATGCCTGGCACTGGGCTGAATGAGTAGATGAAGTGACTATCCTGTGGGGTGTAATTGAAAGAGGAAAAGATCAGTGACACGAATCAATCAACTAACTATGAGGTAAAACAGAAAACCAGCCATTCTCCAGACCTCCAGTACTCCTGATCTAGAGTGAGACTCACCAGGAAGATGGGCAACTGGAACTTGTCATTGAGCACCACGGCATGGACACTGCAGGGCCCACACAGCCTGGCTGTGATCTCACTCAGGAAGTTAGCATGGAAGATGAAGAGCAGGATGCCTGAGCCTGGAAGGAGAGGGAGGAGAGAGGGAGTGAGGAGAGGGAGTGAGGAGAGGGAGGAGAGAGGGAGTGAGGAGAGGGAGGAGAGAGGGAGGGAGAGATTAAATGCTTTCCCTAACCCCCCAATACAGTGTGTGCAAGTGATTAGCACTGTTTGTAGGTGTATCCTACCCTCTCCAGGTGTGTGAGGCGATTGTTTGTAGCCAAACTCCAGAGAGAAGTCTGGTCCCTCACAGAGTCTGTGACAGGCCAGAGGGAACACCGGCTCCAGCAGGGCCAGCCGAGTCTCAAAGAACGCCCGGATAGTGTCCTCTGCCACACTTGACAACCTGTGTATGTGAGGGAGAGAATGTGTGAGAAAGAATAAGGCATCACTGTGCTGCTAACAGTATGTGGGGTTACAGTATACAATCTTAACTCTGTTACATATGTACCTTTATTTATACAGACTGATTCATACGTTTACAGAGCGAGAGTGAGACATGGCAGCAACACTCACATGTTGATGTGGTCCTTGATGAGGTCGTACACAAGCAGGTTGTTGCTGACCTTGGCGAAGTACATGGCCGTATTCTTGTGTTTGGACAGGATGTTGCAGTCGGCCCCGTACTCCAGTAGGAGGCGCACCACGTCAGCATTCCCCCTCTTACACGCCTGAAGAACAGAGGCTACTGGTAAAGAACTATAGCGATAAGTCTGTCCCACAGGACTTTAGCAGAAATGAGGGTATTCACAAATAGGGGTCATTGACGAGCTTAGTCTCTATGCTTCAGGGGTGATATGTTGCTTTCTAATTAAAACACAGCATTTCTCTTCATCACCCCCGTTTTTCCCCCTCCTCCTCCGTACCTTCATCAGGGCCGTCTCTCCTCCCAGTGTCGGAGCGTTGACGTAGGACCCTGCCTCCAGGAGGATAGCAACTGTGGTCAGGAAGTTCTGAAATGAAAAAATGTAAGGAGAGGGTTAAGTAAGTAAGTAAACCTTGCAAACAGACATTTACACACAAACAAGAGTAGCGTATACATGTGTGTAGACTTTACTTGTAATGAGGCGGTTTAAACCAGTCTGTCCTGTGTTACCTTCTCTGCAGCGTGCATAAGGGCAGTGGTTCCGTTCTTCTGCCGTCCGTTCACCTTCACCCCCTTCTTAATCAGCAGCCTCAGGATGTCATCCTGTCCCCCTGCTGCTGCCAACATACTCAGGGACATACCACTGGAGTCCTGCAGGAGGCAACACACACAGACACAAACTCCTTCATTACTGAGGACTAAAGCTTTCCAAAGCCTCTTGTAGCAAACACTATGGGAAGCGGGGCAGCAATCCAAATGTATCTGTACAGCTAATTGTTTAAAAATAACAAAAAAAGGGCAAGTTCACTTTTTTGAAAGTTAAACTTATCGACTTACCTAGGGTGTTCTCTTTTCATCCAAAAGGTTAAGTTCGTAAAAGCACAAAGCACTGAGCAATGGTGATGATACACTATATTTATAAAGTATGTGGACACCCCTTCAAATTAGTGGATTCGCCATTTCAGCCATATCCGTTGCTGACAGGTGTATAAAATCGAGCACACAGCCATGCAATCTCCATAGACAAATATTGGCAGTAGAATGGCCTTACTGAAGAGCTCAGTGACTTTCAACATCGTACCGTCATAGGATGCCACCTTTCCAACAAGTCAGTTCGTCATATTTCTGCCCTGCTAGAGCTGCCCCGGTCAACTGTAAGTGCTTTTATTGTGAAGTGGAAACGTCTAGGAGCAACAACAGCTCAGCCGCGAAGTGGTAGGCCACATAAGCTCACAGAACGGGACCGCCGAGTGCGTAGAGCGTAAAAATTCTGTCCTCGGTTGCAACACTCACTACAGAGTCCCAAACTACCTCTGGAAGCAACGTCAGCACAATAACTGTTTATCGGGAGCTTCATGAAATGGGTTTCCATGGCTGAGCAGCCTCACACAAGCCTAAGATCACCATGCGCAATGCCAAGCGTCGGCTGGGGTGGTGTAAAGCACGCCGCCATCGGACTCTGGAGCAGTGGAAACGCGTTCTCTGGAGTGATGAATCACGCTTCACCATCTGGCAGTCCGACGGACGAATCTGGGTTTGGCGGATGCCAGGAGAACGCTACCTGCCCGAATGCATAGTGCCAATTGTAAAGTTTGGTGGAGGAGGAATAATGGTCTGGGGCTATTTTTCATGGTTCGGGCTACGCCCCTTAGTTCCAGGGAAGGGAAATCCTAACGCTACAGTATACAATTACAATCTAGACGATTCTGTGCTTCCAACTTTGTGGCAACAGTTTGGGGAAGGCCCTTTCCTGTTTCAGCATGACAATGCCCCTGTGCACAAAGCGAGGTCCATACAGAAATGATTTGTCGAGATCGGTGTGGAAGAACTTGACTGGCCTGCACAGAGCCCTGACCTCAACCCCATCAAACACCTTTGGGATGAATTGGAACGCTGACTGCGAGCCAGGCCTAATCGCCCAACATCAGTGCCCGACCTCACTAATGCTCTTGGCTGAATGGAAGCAAGCTGTTTTCCATTACCGTTATTGGTACGATTCTAAATCCCTGTTGGAACACTAATGATGGACATCAAGTAGGCTGTATGAATATTCTCAGAACTGAAAGAGCATGTCTTGCAGCTTAGAAAGTTTACGTCAAGTAACAATTTATTAACGGCGCAAATATAGTATCTTACAGTACACACAATGAGCACCAGGTGGTAACAAAAGGCAGCTTGATAACAAATACATGTTGGTGAAAAAAACACAATTTAAGCAATGATGTCCATGTCTTTCGACAGTAAATAGTGGGGTGTGGTTGAAACCCCTGATTTTTTCTCAGTTAACACCTAACACTGTGGCAGACCTTATGCAGTTATAACATGAACTGATAACTATGAACTAATTTATTTACATTATTCCTCCTTGAACCTTGATCCAATTAGAAGCAACAGAAAGGTTTACTTGCAATAGTAACATTATCTAGTAGGCAAGTGGATCAAATAATACAGAGAAGCAACAGCCATCAAACCCTATACAAGTTAGTCAGCCTAAATTAGTGTTGAGGAACTTAAACGGCTGCTGTGAATCAATATGGTTAAGACCGTAGTGAATAATAGCAACATTAATATAAAAAGTTTAAATGTTTATCATTTGACAAGAAGCAATTAAACAAGTACATGGACAGTTAATGCCTAATCATCCACATCATATTTAGTAGGAAAGACAGGTACAAGAGGAATAGCCTAGGTTGTGTGCGAATCTCTGAAACCAATTCCACACTCAGAACAAAGGAACTGTTTCCAGTTGGCAAAGCAGATTTCAGTTACTTATCAATAGTAACTTTTGGGTCAAAGGAGTGGATCGGAGAACCAAAAACTGCCTCAAATTGGATTGGAAGTCATCAAATTTTAGTGAACATTACAGTAAAGTTACTAGTGACAATAAACAAGGCTTCGGTTTAGGAATCATGTTAGAGCCTCCACACATATAAACTTTCGATGTAAAGGGATGGCCAATAAAAGTCCACCAGTCCTTGCCAAACCCATCAGCCATCACTCATGCTGCTTACAGATTCTCCACACTTCTTTCAAAGAGTTTACTTGCACACTCCCAGTCACTTTGGGAGAAGGGTGGAAAATCGGGATGTAGCCATTAATGGGCCCTTTGATAGGATCTGAAAAGTTCACTGACCTTGCCCTTTCAATGGTCCTAAAGCACAAACTCTGACCACCTGGCAAGCCTAATCAACAGCTCCTTTTGAATAAAGCAACTCGCCAGGACTGAGATGGCTCACTGGGTCATGCAGCTGGGGGAATCTGGCTTAGTAATGAAAATGAATTACATCTAGAAGCAAATATCCACAAAAACGAGCGAGATTGAAATGAACGATAAAATCTAAATTGTTTATAAATATATATATATATTTAAAAACGAATATAAAAAACAACTACTGATACATACCGGTAGCTAGGAATACTAGCTAGCTAGCTCGCTAACGTTAATAACATAAGTACAATATCCATGATAATAAACTCAACCATGCTTCAAAAGCAATTGAATGTGGATAGTGTATGTATGCCTTGTATTTATAATAAGTAACCATTTTCAAATGGAGCCGTCTCTTCATCTAAAGATTATAGTTCTAGAACAGCCAAATAAACATTATTCTTGACATGATTGGTTTTCAAGCGCCTCAAACATCAAACCATACTCCCTTAGCTGGGAACACACTTCGTATGTAAACCCATGGCTCCAGACCAGCATTTTCCCCTGGTGGCACCTGGGCCACTAAGCCCTTGTTCAAACACAGCACCGAACAAAAAATATGTCACTTTCTCTTTGGAAGCAGGGATAGAGTGCCGTCTGAAACCACGCAGTGCGCCTCGTCTGACTTTTGATGATAGTTCAGCAGCCTCTGCCGCTCTTTCCGCGCGGGTGAAGCACGCCTGTTTCATGCAGCGCGCAAGAGCAGTTCTTCCACAATCAGTCAAATTGTAATGTCTATTAATATATGTTAATTGCATGCAAATAAAGGTTGCTTCGCTACAACACCCACAGCAGAAGTATGCCCTCGGATTCACAGGTGGACGCGTTGACTGGGTTAGTGTAGTTTTTGGTGCTCTTTGAAACCAGCAACTGACGGTAAAAACAACATCAACACACAGGTTGTAATAGTCATAACTGATGGGCACCACAAACATAAAAATCCTTTTGCAATCTCGGGAGAAACTAAAACGTCTACGTTGCACAGTAATATCGCATGGTTTATTTTAGGGATGAGGGGACGTTTCGTGATTCCTTAGCAAACGTGAGTTATGAAATCTTTAGATACATTATGGCCTACGTTAACCGAGACACATTAAACCGATCATATTCAGTTTCAGACATTAACTTCCGCACTGCACAGATGTGAATCGTCTTTGCCTTTTTAGTGCAATAAACCTTGTGGTTTCTTTAACACAGAAGAGAACGCGGTTATGCCTGAATTCGACTCAAACCCAACAAGAAAGTCTGCAGTGTTGAGACCGGTTGTATGACACCAAATTGGTAAATCAATAAAAGCTCTCAACCGTGCCAGCCTGCTTTTAATTTCTATTCAGTTCGACTCACCATACGTTTTTTGCGTTTGAACTGTGCGTAACTTTTTCAGTTGATGGCACCAGCCCATGATTTGGTCTCAACCCCCCCAAAAAGCAGCGTCATGCAATATAAAATGTTTGTAATCATCTTATAAAGTCAGTCATTCTTTATTAAGAAATGTAATAGACTACCTCGAGATGCTATTCAATAAATAAGTTGTTTCATCTAACATGTCCAATCAGGAATGAATGATTCAAGTTATACAACCTAACCCCGTGACTGGCATTAATTTTGGGTTAACAATATGGATATTGGGGCTAATTCAACACCCGTGGAAGTGGAAACTCAAAACACATTAGATTGCCAACTCTAAATATGCAGAAAGCAGAGACCTCCTTATTGTTATACAATCAGAACAAATGTTATTCTCCTGGAGAGGAGTGGCTCACTCATCACATCAGCAGGCCCCAGCGAAACAGGGGCAGGAGTGTAGACTCTAATATTACAGGAATGAGGATAATGAACTTTACTGTTTGACCATATGATTTTAGCCACACCAAAAATGTTAAGGTTTTGAGTGATGTGACTATGTAGAATGTGAAGCTCATACCGATGGAGCCCTGAAAACCATTCACACCGCACTTCTACCAGGAATAACCTGCTAAATTCCCAGGTTTGCTGGTCAGTTGTTTTTACTCAAAACCTAACCTACATGTATACATTAGCTACATATACAATGGTACAGGCAAGAATACACAAAACATTTTGTACATCTGGATCCAGATCCATTTGGTGAAAGTAAAGTATACTAGTAATGTGATCAAAAAGCTAAAGTCATCAGTTTAACTGTATAGGTTTGCACAACAATCAACGAAGTTGTTAAAAAATTAACATAAATTATGCCTGTACATGTTATCTATCCATGTGGAGCATATACTGTATTTCAGTCAGTTATCTTGGGCATTTTTATGCAACATGGTTCAATCGAAACATGTGGTGCGTTTGGATTCCGAATGTGCGTCCATGAGGCCTTGTTGCCGTTGCTGACCCAGAAGATTCAGTTTGACAGCATTTATAAAGGGCCATTGGGTTTTTTAAATAAACAAAACGGTATGAGTCCATCCTTCCTTGCCTCCTTTCTCCAAGGTTGCAAATGTGTAGCCTATGCCAAAAGGCTTTGAGTTTTGCCGCCACATAATGCATTATGACAATGGAATTTTGTAGTTGAGAATTTCAACATCTGCGAAGTTTTCATGCATAATATATCACTATGTAGTTGCTACGGATACATTTGCAGAATAAAGTAGGTACTGATATTATATCCTTAAAATGCTACTTCATTCTTGCTTTCCGTCACAAAGTGAGATCAAAGTGAGCAAGGATTGTCAGATTAAATCAAAAGCTATCCTCTTCTCCTTTAGCTTACCTTGAACCATGGTAGGTTTTCAAACTAGTTCAAGGTAATCATAAGGACAGATAAACAGGAGGATCTTCTGGATGTCCCAACAGCGCCCCTTGTTTCTGATGCACCCCTGGACTCTGTTGCAACCCTGGTTTCTGTGTCACTGGACTTGGTTTTTCACGATCCATGTTTTGTTTGCCTGAAATATGCCTCCTGCACATCGTCATTAATGTGTTATGCACATAGTTTTTTACATCTTTCCATGTCCTGCCTTGTAGAGCTGGTTCAGCTGCAATACATGCATCACATTCCTTTTTACCTGGAATCTTCATCAGTTTAGTGAAGTCTCCTAGCTGCCGCCTCACCGCAGCCTGAGCCTCATCACCCCATATTTTCTGTTTCCTTGGTGTTGCCACAGCAACAGGACCTGCCTCTAGTCTCTCCTGTGAAGGTACTGTCATTGTTCCACCAACTCCTTCCTTAGCACTCTTTGCCTCCGTTTCTTTTTCTTTCTTTGCCGGTCCTTTCTTTGTCTGTTGGGTGGGGTCCACTCTTGTAAGGCCCTTCTTCCTTTTAATAGATTTTACTGTGTTGTGCACATAGTTTTTGATGTCTCTCCATGTCCTGTCTTGTAGAGCTGGTTCATTGTGGAGGCATACTTCACAGTCCCGTTTACCTGGAACCTCCATCATTGAGATAAAGTGTCCCAACTGACGCTTCACTGCAGCCTTAGCAGCATCACTCCACGGCCTCCGTTTCCACACTGTGCCCACCTTACCCGTCCCCACAGAACCTGTCCCTGCAGGAACTGCCCCGACAGGAAGCGTCTGTGTTGGAGCTGTCTGGGCAGGAAGTGTCTGGGCATGAAGTGTTGGCGTAATAACTGTATGCGCTGGGAGTGTTTGCGCAGGAAGTGTCTGTGCAGGATATGTTCCGGCAGGATATGACCTCGCAAGTTGTGTCCCCGCAAAATGTGTCCCCGCAGGATATGTCCCTTCAGGATATGACCTGACAGGATTCGTCCCCGAAGCATATGATCTTGCAGGAGATGAGAGGTCATAAGCACTTGCAGGATATGATCTTGCATCATGTGTCTCTGCAGTATATGTCCCTGCAACATATGAACTTGCTGGATAGGTCCCTGCAGGATGTGTCACACTAGGATATGCCCTCGCAGAATCTGTCCCCTCAGAATATGACATTGCAGAATGTAATTCTGAAGGATATGACTTCTCAGGATATGTCCCAGCATGATATGACCTTGAAGGCTGTGCCCCCACAGTATATGACTTTGCTGAATATGTCTCTGTCGGATATGCTGACCCAGTAGGATGTGTCCCGGTAGGATATGTCCTCGCAGAATCTGTCCCCGCAGAATATGTCCCTATGAAATGAAAACATACAGAAGAAAAGGATTCATGAACATGTGTCATTATCATATATTGTGAAGAGGAACAGAGCAAACACTATAGAGCAATAAGTTGCAAGCGTCTCAAAAATGTCTAGTTAACATGTAAATGGCACAAAAACAGGGATTTTCCCACTCAACATTTATCATTTAACTCCTAAAACACAATGGAAATGTTAGTCCAAATATCCTGTAAAGCAACTGATACTCACCATATGTAGGAGAAACAACCCTTTCCTCAGACGGCCCTGGAATTACAACTGGAACCTGATCCATTGCAAGCAGCAATTTGCTGATTTCTGCTAGATGTGCTGCATTTTCAGAGAGTCTGTAGTACTCTTTATGGACCTGGGTGTCATGTCCCAATAACTTTGCAACTTGATCCAATTCACTTTCATTCAAGTTCAGTATTTGGCAATGAATAGCAACCTCTTTCCTCACTGTCGCATGGATCAGACTTTCAGGATTCTTTGCATCACACTCATGTGCAAATTTCCTCAGACAGTCAAACCCTCTGACGTAGCTTGCTGCATCCAGGCTCCGTGCGAAGACATAAGGGTTGTCCTTTGACACACCAACTTTGTCTCTGTTTGCAATAAGGATGTCAAGAGATGAAATCATCCTCTCCGTTAGTAGGACTGGCATTTTCCTACCATTTTTTCCTTCTATTTCCACCCTGGTTAATTTGTCGTCACCAAGCTCCTGCTCCAGCCTTGAGAGGCTATTGAAAATGTCTGCACTAGCTGGAGCTTTCTTCCTGTTTGTGTACGTTTCCAACAGCATTTTCGCAACCTCTCCTGTCCTTTTTCTGTTGAAGAGAGCTATTTCTGCAAGAAGAGTTTCATTGAGCTTTTTCCAGACAACATTGGTAGGGCTCTCCAGCAATTCTTTCCTCGCTGTGTCCTCTGTAACCTTGAGAAACTTCTGAAGTTTGATCAAATCCTCAGTTAGTGAAGACACATCAACTTCATCACACTGAGGGACAGTGCTGAGGGATAGACCAGAAAAACTGTTATTCCAATCGTTTTCAAGAAGTTCAATGAACCTTTTGGCTTGTTCCTCTGCCTCGCGGTCCTCTGTCATACGACTCTCCCCAAAAGCTATTTCGGTCGCTCTTTTCAAGGAATAGCCAATCTTTAAAGCAAGAGATGGGGTCTTGTATCTGTCAGAGGCAGGGTCATGACCACTCATTTTCCTGGCAGCATGAACGGCCAATTTGAATTTGGATGGTACACATACTTCATGCAAGTATTGGACACCACAGTCCATCTCATTTACTGTAAGTACAAATCTAGCCAATTCCCTCATTTTTGAACCAATGTAAGTAAACTGTGACTTGGCATGGCCATGCTTTGCGGATAGTGCATTGCCATATTTACATATCAGGGGATCATTTTTGATGTGGCATGAGATGTCATCTTGATTCATATTGTGTATTATTTCTTCACATCCTCCAGTAGAGTAGACAGGCAATGGAACAAGTTGAGAGGACGCAGCATGGATCCGCACTCTTTTTCCTCCCCTCGTTTCATCTTGTCCTTTTCTGGTATTACATGAGCCCTCATGCTTCCATAAATCTATTTTGTTGAAAAAAGCTAAGCAGTGTTGGCAGGGCAGGTAGTCACGCACAGAAGCACCATCGTAAGAGGGTATTTTCTTTGTCACAACTTTTCCATCTCCACTTTGAAGAACTTCAAAGTTGTGTTGATAGTTGCCTTTGTTACGGAGTTGGTCAAGCAAGAGAGCCCTGATTTTGGAGAGTTTTGGGAAGCTGATCGCATGAGCAACAGCTGCTTCTTCTGCATGCATCCTTTCTAAATGTCTTGCAATTTTGTGGTGTGGTTGATTGCAATACAGGCAAAAGTGCTTTTTGCCCAATTTTCTTTTATCATCATCATCCTCATCCTCATCTTCTATCGTACTACATGCGCTGACTGTCATTTTTGTGCTGTAACGTAAGCTTGACCGTGTACCTTTCCGTGGTGCAAATTTCTTGCGGCAAGGTTTTTTAGCTTGTGCTGTTTTTGGAGGATACTGCTCATATTCATTATTGTCGCAGGAGCTTTCTGCATTAGATGGAAGAGGATCGGACCCACTTGGAACGTTTGAATCCAGTCTTTGTCCTTCTACCTCATCACCTGAACTGTTTTTGTGAATCTCGTCATCACTTGAACTGAATTCTTCAGCACTTGCACCCTTTATGTCACATAAAGCTCTCTCCATGTCACATAAAGTCTTCTCCACATCACATGAAGTATTCTCTTCGCCACATGAAGTATTCTCTTCATTGTGTAGAGAATTTTTCTCATGTGAAGGATTCTCTTCCTTGTGTAAATGATTCTCTTTACATAGAGGATTCCTTTCGCGGTGAGGATTCCCCTCGCGGTGAGGATTCCCCTCGCGGTGAGGATTCCCCTCGCGGTGAGGATTCCCTGCTGCACATAAAGGCTTCTCTTCATTACTTAATCTATTCTCTTCATCACGTAAAGTCTTCTTTTCCTCATTTAAAATATCCTCTTGCTCATTTAAACTCTTCTCTTTGCCACTTAAACTCTTCTGTTCAACAGTGCATGCCTGTAAAAGAACAAGTAAACGTAAGATTCATAACACCTTATGAAAGGTTAATCTAATGATGCTTTTGGTTGAACATTTATGAAAAGTGGGACGTACAACGTGGAAAACAAGCAGCTTCATAGCTGTTGGGAGTTAGCATTGAACTTTTGTGGCAAAGAGAAATTAGGTTAACTATACCATCATACTAGACAAAACTGGCGTCCCCTGCCCTGTTTCATATGCAGAGGACTCTAAATAGTGAAAACCTCAGTACTGCTCATTGAAAACCTGTACGGTACACATTGTGAGTCATTCAAATGATCGCATAAGAGCACCTCAACAATGCTCTCAAACTTCAATCACAGTCAAGCGAGAATCAATGCAATGGTTACACAGCACCAAACTACGTGTAGACGGAATTCTTCAATAATAAAAAAAACCACGTGACCCATTCAAGGAATAGTTTATGGCTTTATTGTATTAAATCAACGAACTACAACGTTTTGACATTGTAAATATGTCTGATGAGGATTTAATAATGTGATGTTGGATGAGATGCTGCATGGAGACGAGGACGGTACAGAAAATAAAACTCCATGCAACTAGGCCTCTAACCTCATTTTGCCAGTGACGGTTTTGAATCCTCAATATATTCAGTATTTTGTGACGTGCGTGCAATAATGGTTTGGTGGTCGATTTAAAAGTGTTTTCACATATAGACCTGAATAAGATCCTGGAGCGTTTGGATGCCTATGAAGATGCAAAACAAACCCTGGTCCAAATTAATTCTGGTACTTGCCCAACAGTTACAGCAGAACGTTTGAGAAATATATTTCTTTCCATTCTCTTAAAAGCAGCACGGTACTAAATTAATATGAAAGCGCCCTTAAAAACACTGATTGGCCCACACTAATACTATTGAGACCTTATAAATTGTAATAATAAACAGGATATATTGGACAACCCAAACAAAATAACAATGTAACTGGACAAGTAATATTAGCCTATGTAAATACATATTTTGTTAAGCAATGGAATACAGGCTTACGGCAGTAGTTTGTTAAACTGTGAAGGCTTTGTTCGATTAATATTTATGAAAGCTGAAATGTGTTACTGGTATTGTAATGAGTGACTCAAAAGAAGGTTTTATATTTTAGTTTTTCGGCTTTTTGTTGTCGATAATGGAGATGAGTAAAATGTCAGTACTGCTATGACCGAAAATCTGCAGCAGTTTTACATGCTCTGCGGTGGTGCAAGAATACTTTTCCGAAGGCATTACTGTACCTGAGGTAAATGTTGTATCTTATAGCTTCTTGTGAACTTTGACCTCTTGCTCACCATGTTCTTTGTCTGTAAATGAGAAGATAATACTTGTCTGAGATCACTCTAGCTGTCTCCATAGTAACGTATGAAAATTATCTGCCAACTGTGCACAACAACAACAAACATTCAATGCAATGTAAGCTTGGATTTATTCATTGCCAGCCATCAAGTTGGCACAACAGTTTATTAGGTATGATGATAGCCAAAACGTTTTTTTTTTTAAAGCAATGCAGTAAACATTAATTTTACAAACTGCATTTTCCTATTCAAGTTTAACACATCATTACAAAACAATCTGTAGCTCCATTAGGCTAAATTAAATAACAGTAGTTGAAGGGCATAATCTGCTTACCTTTGATTGCTTACTGGTCCTCAATGGATACAGTCAGCAGGTACTGTAGTCGGATTCTCTCCTTCAATGTCCTGGTATTCAACCTCTGCAAGCCATTACTGGCTCTCACGTTATATCCAATATTTAAACTGTATTATAACTCGATCAGAGTGGCTAAGTTGATCCAGTTGTATATGCTTGACCAGACTGGCTAAATGAAACATCTTTCTACACAACACATTTCATTAAAGCAGCAATCTGGAACTTTAATTTCCAGTCATTCGCGCTAATGAAAGTTACATATTGTGGCTTTAATTAAGTAATTAATTATGGCACTTGGCGCTGACGTATATGCAATAGCTAAACATATGTATCAAAAGCGAATCTGTTGTCGCACAAGTTGGTTAACGTATGTTTTTTGTTGGAAAACCCGAGAACAAGGCTAAAGCTTGTGAGAAGAGAACTGTGATGTTGGTCCCAAAATGGTCCTCATTTGAATGAACTCACAAGTATAACCACACACATAGGCTACTCTAACAAAGGTAAAAACATATTTAATTGACTAGTTGTGACTAGTTCGTGCTTGTACTGGGACTGAATAAATATGTGAAACAGCTGGGGCTCCCCAAAGACAGGAGGAAAGCAGGGAGGAGAATACAGGTGAGAGGTACTCTTTGGAACACAGAACGTACCTCCTGGTCCAGATTGTAGTCCTCTTTGGAATTGAGTGCAAGTTTCACAGACATGTAATCCCCGCTTTTCACTGCATCCCGCAGCTCACCTGAGGGGGACACATATTTCCCATCAGTAGTTGTCAACATCTATGTACATAGTGTGTGGAAGAGAGAAGTCCATGTACAGCCGATGTTAAGAGACTGCTGGGAAACATGAGAGAGAAAGAGGGTATACACTTACTGGGAGATAGAGGTGGAGCAGAGAGAATCTCATCCTCTCCGTTCAAATGTTTCTGAAAGTCCTCCAGTGTCATCCAGTCCAAGTTGAGGTCCATTCCAAGGTTAAGAGAGGCTTGCCCTTTGTCTGTCAGTCACAAACCACATCCAATAGTACATTAGTATTATTTCACATGGCCATTATGAGGGACTCTGTCCAGAAACAACCCCTAACCCCTAGACACTTGTGTAGATCTGAAAGGATTGGATAGGTGTAAGCAATACGGTAGGTTTTGTAACAGATGCGTGTGTGTGTGTTTGTGTTGCCTTTTCTGTGTTTGTGTGTGTGTTTGTTGGTTCTGTGGTGTACCAGACTGCGTACCAGACTTGTCGGCGCTCTCCAGGGGGTCTTGATTGTCGTCACAGACGATGAAGAGGCGTGGCTCGCTGTCCTCCCTCCTCCTCCTCCTCCTGTCATCCTCTTGGGTCCTCCTCTCCCAACGTTGAGCCTCCTCCCTCCGGTCCTCTCCGCCGAACTTTGACTTCTGGGCAGGTTCCTCCTCTGCCTCCGCCCTGTCACCAGTCTCCATAGCAGCGGGGCTCTGACTGGGCCTAAATGCTATTAGAGAGGAATAAACAAATAATATGTTAGATAAGGGAAAATAAACAAATAAAAGGGGGACCTGTGTGGCTCAGTTGGTAGCTTGCAACGCCAGGGTTGTGGGTTCGATTCCTACGGGGGACCAGTACGAAAAAGTATGAAAATGTATGCACTCACTACTGTAAGTTGCTCTGGATAAGAGTGTCCGCTAAATGACTAAAATGTCAGTTACATTTTTGTTTGTCTTGATTGAGTCACTATGTAGTGGCTGCGTCCACTACATTCATACACAATTTAAAAAAATAAAAGCTTAACAATGGACCCTTGTAATTCTTCTCACCGTCTGTATGTTTGGTCTTGTCTGGCTCTGGCTTCCGAGCAGGTGACTCCTTTGTCAGCTTGGTCCTTTTCTCAATTTTCCCTATGAGCTGAAATTTGAACAGAAATATATTTAAGATTTTACTTGAGGCAGCTTAAGATAGACTTTCAGCACAACAGCGAGGGCCCTGCTGCTGGCTATGTCACCAGCATTGATTTACTAACCCCGCTACATTTAGTGCAGAGCAGCTTGGCGTACCTTTGGTGGTTTAGTGTTCTCTGTGGGGGTGGGCTGGTGTACCATCTGTTTGCGGGGAACGCGGTCCTTGGCCTCGCAGTTCAGCAGGAACTTCTCAAACAGGTTAGTGGAGGCGGCCTGCTCCTTATCACCGCCCACTACAACTTTAGACTCCTCCACAGTCTTGCTGGTGCTGGCCCCTGCACCAGAGGAGGAAGAGGAAGACGAGGATGAGGAAGAGGGGATTTTAGGCGGTGCAGGGGTGGCCTCGTGGCTCTTGCCCTTGGCCTTCTTGTGGACGTGGGCCGGGGCAGGGGTGTCGCTGGAGTCAGAGGTTTGTGTGGGCTCATCCCGGCCCTGGCTCTTGGAGGAAGTGAGGCTCTTTAGTTTTGCGAGGCCGCTTGCGGAGAGCATTGGCGATGAAGTTTCCGGCTTCTTGCCTTTCTTATCCTGAAGGAAGTCCTTGATGCCCTGCAGCTTCAGTTCTGACTTACCCTTCTTATTCTTGGGCTTGTCGTCAGCGCGAGACTTTTCTGTTGCGGTGGTATCATCTGTCTGGGACTCAGATGGCCCCTCGCTAAGCTCCTCTTCCAGTGGGGCAGTGGCCTCATCTTCAGTGGACTCCAGATCACCCCTTCTATCCTTCTTTTTCTTCTTTTTCTTCTTCCCTTCCTCCACATTCTCTTTTTTCCCGTGCTTCCCTCCATCCTTAGCCTTGTCCTTCCTGTGCTTCTTGGAGGGCACGGGGGCTTCTTCCTCTTCATCGGAGTCAACAAATCTCTTCTTGGAGTCGGACATCTTGGTTCCACGGCCCGGGGTTGGGGGAGGGGAAAGCTCCTCTTCATCAGACTCTGGTGCTGGACGAGGCCTGAAGTCCTCTTTGCGCTTGTCTTTCTTCTTTTTCCTCTTCTCCTTCAGGGGATGTGCCTCCTCATCCTCTTCTTGGGGCTTCTTCTTTTTCTTCTTCTTGACATAAAGGTCTGTGGGCTTGTCTTTATCACTGTCGCTGTCAGAGTCAGCATCGAACACATCACTCTTCATGGGCAGCTTCTACAGAGGAGAGGGGACATTCACATCAGCCATTGAAAGTGATAATATCGGTTACTCAAAAGGTAGTTAAGTAACAGTCAGTCCTACAAAGCACTTTTCATTCCAGCAATTAGACTCGCATTTCTTATGATGGCTATGATCCTTCTGGATAGGACTTACCATGCCTTTCTTAGCATCTTGGTCTTTTGTGACCTTAGCCTCTGCCAGAGCCCTCTTGTAGCCCAGCAGCACCTCCCTACAATCCTCCAGGTGGGCCTCAGGCTCCCAGGTGTCATCATCAGATGAGTAGTTCTTCCAGCGAACGCGGTACAGGACCTCCCCCTAAAGACAAGGGCAAATACAAGTGGGTGAGAGCAATACGGAGAATGCTTTTATTTTTTTGTCAGTCCAGTTCTTTCACATCATTGCAGAAGATGAAGACTGACTGAGTGACTGTATTAGGCCTACACCTACTCATAGACCTGTGTATATAAAAAAGCCTGACAGAGACTTTGTATTAGGTCTGACCCATACCTACTCATAGACCTCTCCATCTGAGACAAACACACATTCCGTTGAGCGGCTGTGTCTGGCAATGTGACACACAGCCAGTACTCCCAGTCCCCTCCTTCCCATCCAGGGTACTGGGACAACAGAGACCCAGTCACAGGTGATAGGAGTTCTGACACTAGCTAGGTTTCCATCCAATTGGTGACAGATTTTCATGAGAATATTCTAAAATCAATATACGTATTTTCCCGCCTGAGATGTGGCTCCGTCAAATGTACTTGTTGCAGATAAAAGGATGCGCGTGATAACGTATTGCACATAAAGATAACTTTTGAGGTTAAATTCCCAAGTTAAATGGGTTTACATCGCATTTAACTCTACTGATTGTTTTGTCACAAAAAATGTTGTGTTATATAGCAAAGGTGTCCACTCTTATCTTGGCATGTGCGCTCTAGCCAATACAGTGCGCGTAGGCTACCTACATGAGATTATTTTGGACAAAAGAGCGAGATAATTTATATTTGTCAAATGACAGCCAAGCATGATCATCATGTCACCAGAATAGGACCCTAGATATTTATTGGAAAGGAGAATCAAGCTCATCATCGTGCACTTTCACCACCCTGTGAAGTTTATCATAACTTATTTCATCTGTAGCCTAATAAACTGCATGCTTTCCCGAGTCGCAGTGGGAGGACCACAACATATCATCACGTGACTCCCAAGTTTACTTTGATATGATGGTTATTATATCAATATTTGCGTATAAAGGCGTTTCCACGTCCATTTCTCACATAATTAATTTTACAGACACAAAAAGATCCCACCTTGTCTAGCGTATTTTGTTTTGTCAACATTTGGAAAGTTTACATACAAATTTGCTATTTCCATCAGGCCTGTCATTAAATGTTTTATCCAACATGTACTTTACTCACATAAAACGGTTGGCTGAAAACCTGGTTACTTTGACAGTTGATTTTGCTTGTTTGTATCATGTGACTAATGTGTTCTGGTTCAAATGGGGTACAAGTGTGACTGTAGCACAGTGCATGGCTGGTCGTGATTGTAAACAAAGCACAACAAGATAGTCAGGTTTCTCTCCACCTGCCTCCATCTTCCTCAGAGGCTTTGTTTTCCTTTCTCCCTCCTTCATACTCTCAGCTCAAAAGCAGTTTAGATAAGAGGAACTGGCTGTGCATGTGACTTCTCCATACACACACACAGACCCCTCATCCAATATTGCCCTCCCCTCTTTCTCTGGAACTCTGAATCGCTGTTGAGCCACAATCACAAGCCTCAGACAATCCTCTCTTTCTCCCATTCAGCTAACACTCTCTCCATTTCACACACACACAGATCAGACCTACACAAACACATTCTCTCCCTTTACTTACACACATATTCTTGCTTGCACTTTAATAGAGGAGCCTACTGCTTAATCACTCAGTGACACATGGCCCCTCTATAGTGTAGTACAGTGATGTCACCAGACTGAAATGTGGTAGCCATCTGTCTGATTGTCAGCGACCTTTGCCAAACTCTGGTTCTCCCCCCCTTCTCGCCGAAATGTGCATTTACCCTCATACATATAAAAGCATTGGATTGGTGTAAGAAATATGGTTGACTGTCTACACCAATTAGCATACAAGGTAAGTCAGCTGTTCAATGTCAACAAACTAATGTGTACACTGCCATCTTGTCTATTTCAAATCTTCTCTCCATCAATGAGTTAAGATTTGAAATAGACAAGATGGCGGTATACACATTGTTGGATTACTTCATGGTGCAAAAAAATGATTTAATTTAATAATGGCGCATTTTCTAAATTCCAACATTCCACCTGCAAGGAGCCATGGAAGTTTAGAAGACAGCGGTGGTTTCCAAGTCGGGAATTGATTAAGTATTGCCAATTAGAGATTGATCGTAAATGTCCTGCTTGCCCTTAACACTAACTGTTACCTAAGAAGTATCAACGGCTATCCGCCAAACTGCAACAATTAGTGATATCTAAATAGTTCTGGTCTGACTGTACCATCTTTTTAGGTACCGTGGAAAATGTGCTTAATCGCTAAAACATTTAGCTAACTAGCTACCTACCTAGAACATGTCTAGACTGTTAGCTAGTCTGCTAACGTTAGCACTTTCCTAACCAACTAGCATATCAAACGAACTAGCACATGTAGCTAGTTAGCTAGATTATGAAAGACAATTACGAGTTGGTTGTGCACGGTTAGCACAGAGGGTTTGTTGTATTTTGCAAGTCTGTGCAAGTGGGGCTGGCTGAAGTCCAGAAAGGCGAAAGAGTAACATCAGTCTGCCCGACCTTGGCCTAGTGTTAGGAGGGGGCGTCGTATGGGCAAAGTTGTGCAGCCATTTCAATTTCCTTGCGGTTGGCTAACTAACTGTGCGTGGACATTTTAGCATTTCTAGCTAGCTATGTTGTCTATTTACAGTTTAAACCGTCTCATTGTGTAGCTAGATTAAGCTAACGTTCAGTTAGCTGGCTAACAACCAAAACTGCCTAGCAGTAGTAGCTAGCTCGTTTCGTTACCTCCTCCGTTCGCATGTCAATAATCCTCTCCACTTCGTACACATCTTCAACCTCGTCTTCGCTGTCTCCAGCCTCTGGCTTTTCCGCCATTTTATCGTTACAGGAAAAAAACAATATTCGTTACTTTTCTTATTATGCGTTAGCCGGTATTACAGCCAAGGCCGGAGCTAGCTAACTAGCTACAGTACACGAGAGCTTTTTTTCATTTACTTCGCTAGCCACAGCGACTGTAGCTAGCTGTTTAACATTAGAAAGCGGGGAGCTGATAGACTAGGCGAGCTGTAATAGTGCATTTTCACCAGACGTGGCGTCAGCAGGAGAAGTCCCGCCCCCATTCATTTTTGAGGGCACACAGAGAAATGTGCAGGGTATTGTGGGAAGTGAGCTGCGAGAACTGTTAGCAGAGTGGTGGAAAAAGTTGAGCTCTGCTCTACTTTATGCAAATGTCACAGTAACTACGAATTTGGTGAAACATCTTTGATATGTTGTAATGGCCAGGTACATTATATGATCAATGTGGTATTTACACTGAACAAAAATATAAACGCAAAATGTAAAGTGTTGGTCCCATGTTTCATGAGCTGAAATAAAAGATCCCAGAAATGTTCCATAGACACAAAAGGCATACTTCTCTAAAATGTTGTGCACAAATTTGTTTACATCCCTGTTGGAGCATTTTTTCCTTTGCTAAATAATCCATCCACCTGACAGGTGTGGCATATCAAGAAGCTGATTAAACACCACAGGTGCACCTTGTGCTGGGGACAATAAAAGGCCACTCTAAAATGTGCAGTTTTGTCACACAACACAATGCCACAGATTTGAGGGAGCTTGCAATTTGCAATGCTTACTGCAGGAATGTCCGCCAGAGCTGTTGCCAGATAATTTAATGTTCATTTCTCTACCATAAGCTGTCGCCAATGTTGTTTTAGAGCATTTGGCAGTACGTCCAACCGACCTCACAACCGCAAACCATGTGTAACCAAACCAGCCCAGGACCTCCACATCCGGCTTCTTCACATGCGGGATCATCTGAGACCAGAACCCGGACAGCCGATGAAACTGTGGGTTTGCACAACCGAATAATATCTGCACAAACTGTCAGAAACCATCTCAGGGAAGCTCATCTGCGTGCTCGCCGTCCTCACCAGGGCCTTGACCTGACTGCAGTTCGACGTAGTAACCAACTTCAGTGGGCAAATGCTCACCTTCGATGGCCACTGGCACGCTGGAGAAGTGTGCTCTTCACAGATTAATCCCGGTTTGCAGATGGCAAACAGCCTGTATGGTGTCGTGTGGGCGAGCGGTTTGCTGATATCAATGTTGTGAACAGAGTGCCCAATGGTGGCGGTGGGGTTATGGTATAGGCAGGCATAAGCTTCGAACAACGAACACAATTGCATTTTATCAATAGCAATTTGAATGCACAGAGATACCGTGAAGAGATCCTGAGGCCTATTGTCGTGCCATTCATCCGCTACCATCACCTCATGTTTCAGCATGATAATGCATGGCCCCATGTCGCAAGGATCTGCACACAATTCCTGGAAGCTAAAATCTCCTAGTTCTTCCATGGCCTGCATATTCACAAGACATGTCAACCCATTGAGCACGTTTGAGATGCTCTGGATCGACGTGTACGACAGCGTGATCCAGTTCCCGCTAATATCCAGCAACTTCGCACAGCCATTGAAGAGGAGTGGGACAACATTCCACGGGCCACAATCAACAGCCTGATCAACTCTATGCAAAGGAGATGTGTCGCGCTGCATGAGGCAAATGGTGGTCACACCAGATACTGACTGGTTTTCTGATCCAGGTCGCTACCTTTAAAAAAAAGGTATCTGTGACCAACAGATGAAAATCTGTATTCCCAGTCAAGTGAAATCCATAGATTAAGGCCTAATGAATTTATTTCAATTGACTGATTTCCTTATATGAACTGTAACTCAGTAAAATCCTTGAAATTGTTGCATGTTGCGTTTACTGTATATTTTTGTTCAGTGTAGTTTCCTGACACAAGAACAAGTCAGTTGATCAGCATATATCATGGAGTATCAGAAATTGCTGTCTGTCTAGACAGAAAAATACTTTGAAGTCAGATTTTGAAGTAGAAAATAAAATGTTGTTACTGCGTTTTGACTTTGTAGGGTAGATTTCTTCCGGGCAAGCAAAACCCAAAAAATATGTAGGAAAGCCAATCATCACTGTGTCTGGTTGTCCAATTCTATATGATGTCTCTTTGCTAGAATACAGGGACAAAACCAGAAGATCAATGGCATGGAGGAGGATTGATAGGTGAAGAGAGATTTGCACAACGATGTTTGCTTGTGGTGCGAGCTAGCTGGCTCAAACCTAAACTTCAAAACTGTGATCAAAGCCACCATTTGTGAATGTGTTGACTAAATTCAATTGTGAAATTTACCCACCAAAGGATATACTATAAATCACCAGTAACAAACATTATAACATTGTAAATGAAACACTAAGCATGAATTTCCCATGTAACATGCTACCAATTGAATTATGGTATCTTAATTGTGGTCCTCTGTAGCTCAATTGGTAGAGCATGGCGCTTGTAACGCCAGGGTAGTGGGTTCGATCCCCGGGACCACCCATACGTAAAAATGTATGCACACATGACTGTAAGTCGCTTTGGATAAAAGCGTCTGCTAAATGGCATATTATTATTATTATATTATTAACATTATGATTCTCATATATTATAGCTTATGACTCTTATACCTGTGTAATGAAATTGATGTTTATAGCTCACTTCCTATAAGAAACATAGGCCTACAGTGGGGAAAAAAAGTATTTAGTCAGCCACCAATTGTGCAAGTTCTCCCACTTAAAAAGATGAGAGAGGCCTGTAATTTTCATCATAGGTACACGTCAACTATGACAGACAAATTGAGATTTTTTTTCTCCAGAAAATCACATTGTAGGATTTTTTATGAATTTATTTGCAAATGATGGTGGAAAATAAGTATTTGGTCACCTACAAACAAGCAAGATTTCTGGCTCTCACAGACCTGTAACTTCTTCTTTAAGAGGCTCCTCTGTCCTCCACTCGTTACCTGTATTAATGGCACCTGTTTGAACTTGTTATCAGTAAAAGACACCTGTCCACAACCTCAAACAGTCACACTCCAAACTCCACTATGGCCAAGACCAAAGAGCTGTCAAAGGACACCAGAAACAAAATTGTAGACCTGCACCAGGCTGGGAAGACTGAATCTGCAATAGGTAAGCAGCTTGGTTTGAAGAAATCAACTGTGGGAGCAATTATTAGGAAATGGAAGACATACAAGACCACTGATAATGTCCCTCGATCTGGGGCTCCACGCAAAATCTCACCCCATGGGGTCAAAATGATCACAAGAACGGTGAGCAAAAATCCCAGAACCACACGGGGGGACATAGTGAATGACCTGCAGAGAGCTGGGACCAAAGTAACAAAGCCTACCATCAGTAACACACTACGCCGCCAGGGACTCAAATCCTGCAGTGCCAGACGTGTCCCCCTGCTTAAGCCAGTACATGTCCAGGCCCGTCTGAAGTTTGCTAGAGTGCATTTGGATGATCCAGAAGAGGATTGGGAGAATGTCATATGGTCAGATGAAACCAAAATAGAACTTCTTGGTAAAAACTCAACTCGTCGTGTTTGGAGGACAAAGAATGCTGAGTTGCATCCAAAGAACACCATACCTACTGTGAAGCATGGGGGTGGAAACATCATGCTTTGGGGCTGTTTTTCTGCAAAGGGACCAGGACGACTGATCCGTGTAAAGGAAAGAATGAATGGGGCCATGTATCGTGAGATTTTGAGTGAAAACCTCCTTCCATCAGCAAGGGCATTGAAGATGAAACGTGGCTGGGTCTTTCAGCATGACAATGATCCCAAACACACCGCCCGGGCAACGAAGGAGTGGCTTCGTAAGAAGCATTTCAAGGTCCTGGAGTGGCCTAGCCAGTCTCCAGATCTCAACCCCATAGAAAATCTTTGGAGGGAGTTGAAAGTCCGTGTTGCCCAGCGACAGCCCCAAAACATCACTGCTCTAGAGGAGATCTGCATGGAGGAATGGGCCAAAATACCAGCAACAGTGTGTGAAAACCTTGTGAAGACTTACAGAAAACGTTTGACCTGTGTCATTGCCAACAAAGGGTATATAACAAAGTATTGAGAAACTTTTGTTATTGACCAAATACTTATTTTCCACCATAATTTGCAAATAAATGTCAAGGGCTGAGCGTAGATGTGGTGCAGAAATCAAGCGCAGGACTACAGAGGCTCTTCAACAGTCTTTAGTGAGGATCAAACAAATACAAAAGACTCACGGCAAAATCCCAGCCGGAGGGCAAGCGAAACAATTACGCACACAGGGAACAGTGCGTAACCCAGACTGCGCACACAGTGCGGACACTCTCTCAAAAACAAAAACAGAACGAGAGAGAACAAACTGACGCCTAGCTGACACGAAACAATTACACACAACACATGACAAAACCTAAGAGATCTTATAGGGCACATAATCAACACTAACAAAGAACAGGTGTACAAACAGACCAAACCAAACGAACATCGAAACATAGAACGGTGGCAGCTAGTACTCCGGAGACGACGACCGCCGAAGCCTGCCCGAACAAGGAGGAGGAGCAGCCACGGCCGAAACCGTGACAATAAATTCATTAAAAATCCTACAATGTGATTTTCTGGATTTTTTTTTCCTCATTTTGTCTGTCATAGTTGACGTGTACCTATGATGAAAATTACAGGCCTCTCTCATCTTTTTAAGTGGGAGAACTTGCACAATTGGTGGCTGACTAAATACTTTTTTTCCCCACTGTACATGTAAAATACACATGAATGGGTACTTACCTCATATACATTATCTACTGGTATCATTTTAAATTGAGATCATATAGCTAGCTCAACAATATGCAATATGTGAGTTAAGCTATTCTCTGTTTCAGATGTACAACGACAAGGGGTGCATTGCACATGCCAATTAGGCCAGGGATTCTCAAACATTTTGGGTCCGGGGACACCTTTTGTGATAGCGAATTCATCAGGGACCCCCTCATAACTCAAGTGAAAAAATAATAGCATACAAGGAGTTTTACTTTGACTTCGGCAGTGCATGGCCAGACAAACCAAGTCCCAGGCCCTGGGAAGGAACATTTTAAAGGCCCACCTCTTGACATTGGAGAGAAAATGCTGCAGTTTTCAAGCAAAGTTGCTGCAATTCTACACATTTTGTCATGGGCAGAGAATTGTTTTGTTGTTGCAGCTTTTAAG